TGTCTCTTTGTGGTTATTTTGTGTCTCTGTGGTCATTTTGCATCTCTGTTATTGTTTTATGTTGCTTTGTGGTTGTTTTGTGTCACTGTCTGGTCCCTTTTCACATTTTTGTGGTTGTTGTGTGTCTTTTAATGGTCGTTTGCATCTCTTTATAGTCATTTTGTTTCTCTTTGTTACTGTTTTATGTCTCTTTGTGTACATTTTGTGTCACTTTGTGGTTGTTTTGGGTGTCTTTACAGTTGTTTTCCATCTCTGTGCAGTAATTTTGCGTCTCTTTGTGGTTGTTTTGTGTCATTGTGGTAATTTTTGTTTGTGTCTGTAGTACTTTTACATCTTATTGTGGTCCTTTTGTGTGATTTTATGTCCAATCATCGTCCTTACAGACTGAACGGAGGAGGATAAATCTGCAGGTTTGCTGTTTATGGTCCGTTTGGGCCCAAATGAACAAGTTGTAAATGTGGAGTTGTTCTGACAACGGTTGAGGTGGATGGACTTCAGGAAGAGGTGAGACACAAACAAAGAAGCTGCTGAAGATCTGAGACTCGACTGACGCTGTAAGACCTGTGACTAACGGTATCTGAGCACGTGTCGAGACCCCCTCATGTTAATCTTCTCATTTCTCTAAAACAAGCATCATTTTTGAGAAATTAAATTCGATTGAAGAGCCCATGTTCTAGTTTTTGTTTCCGTCATTCCATCAGTATGCTGCATCGCTGCATTTTTGTGCATGTAGAAGATCTACAAATGTATAAAGCCCAACGTCCACACCAAAGGGAACTCTCTTTGATATAAAAACGGGACCCTTACCTGGACCTGAAACACCTCATTTCAGGTCCAGGCTTTTCTTCCATCACACTTTGTCGTAACACCTGCCAAGAGGTGCTGCTCACTATATAATTTATCAGAAATAAACACTGTATGCAATTAGATCTTCTGGCTCTAGAAGCTTTACATCAGAAGAAACCACTTTTTAAAGGGTCATTTCACCCAAATTACAATAAATCCTAAACCCAAAGGAACAAATAAATTCTCACTTACCACGACCAATATTTATCCAACTCCAACTCCTGCACAAAAGAAAAGAAAATAAACTGAATGCACAGAATACAATTATATATAGATTTAATTTTATGCAGCTGCAAAGGCAAACACATGTGAAGCAAAAACCAGCATCAGCTTTAAATAAGGAAGCGATTATATGTAGTTAAAACTGTCATTTAACATTTAAACTGCAATTTGTAAGTAACTACTACTGTGATTTCTACAGAAAAAGAATCTTCGTGACAGAATATTCTGTTTATTATTCTCATCCACTCATTTGTTAAGCACTTAAACAAACAATAAACAAGTAAACCCTTTTAATATTCACAAATTTGGGGAAAATCTGTTTAAAAAAATAATTAAATTTGTATGTGAGGACATGTCTTGTTCCTCAAATAATAACCTTTTTTTTTTTTTTTTAAGTCTTCCAATTGTGATAAAATAACAATAAAGGCCACAATCACATTAATAACTTGAGGCTTAAGTCCGTACTGAGGAGTGGGACTAATTTAATCATAGTCTGAACCTATGTGCATTTAAATGCATCGTGCGGCAGCATAATCTGGGGAACGCCTCATTTTGAAGGCATCGCCACGAAATGATCCGTGGGCCAACAAAAGGAACCGATCATTAAATGTGCGGCAGATTTGCCGAGCGGCAGCCCTGCCGGGAAACTCGACACCTTAACCAAAAACCCCTGTGAAAGAAAGAGGAGAGCCAGAGAGAGAAACTGTCGCATTCAAAGCATTTTATTCCTTCAGAAAATCCCTCTATTGTACTGAAGTGGAGCAGATGGTTCTCCGGGAGGGAACACGGGCATCAGCAGAACTAATTTCTCCTCCTGGTCCGACGGACAGACCGGCCTGCTGCTCGATTCTTAACCAGCACAACAGCTGTTGGTGAATTAAACACCAGTTAAGACTCATTTTAAAGCTATTAGCCTCTTGAAGTCTTACAACGCCA